AGGATTGCTGTTCAAAGCCAGCCCGGGTTTCTCTCCAATAAACCACTGAGAAAACCAGAAGTGGCACTGTGGCTAAAGTGGTAGAGCGCTAGCCTTGAGCACTCAGGCCCAGAGTTTAAGCCTTGTGACTGACCAAAAAAAAGAAAAAAAAAGTCTCACGGACTGCTGGGGCTGGCTTTGAACCATAATCCTCAGATCTCAGTTTCCTGAGTAGCTATGATTACCGGCATGAGCCACCAAGGCCTGTCTTTAGTAGGCTGCTTTTTTTTTTTTTTTTTTTTGTCGGTCGTGGGTCCTGGGCACTGTCCCTTAGCTCTTCAGCTCAAGGATAGTGTGCTACAACTTGAACCACGGTGCACTTCTGGTTTGCTGGTGGTTTATTAGAGATAAGAGTCTCATGGACTTTTCTGCCCGGGCTGGCTTTGAACCAAGATCCTTAGATCTCAGCCTCCTAAATAGCTAGGATGACAGGTGTGAGCCACTGGCACCGGCATCCAGCTTCAGTGAGCTTTTATGAGAGACAGTTTTGAAAACAGTGAAGCATCACCTTAGCTCCACTCCTAAAGACAAGAGTGGTCCCTGAGAGGGGCTCAGGAGCAGTGGGAGTCCATTGAGGGTGGGTGTCCACTGAGGGTTGGTATGGCATGGCAAGAGGGTCAAGTTCATGAAGTGAACCTGACCAGACTACAACAAACAGAGAGAAGTCAAATGACTTGGGTTTTACATTTTCTCTTACTTCTGACCTACAAAAAAGAACTTTATGGCCTTCAACTTGTGGCTGGCAGAAAATGCCTATTAAGTCACCTATCTGGAACAAAATCAGTGTATTGAAAGGAACTCTGGGAGCTCAGAGGAAGCCAGACGGTTCTGCCCAAAGAACAAGTTGGGTGAGAAATCAATGCATGGAATGTGGATATGACTATTCTGTTAGAGACTGTTCAGTCATGCTTAAAATAGGCCTAAGAAGTTACTAGGAAAAACTTTAACTTGTTTAAGCAAAAAGCTGTAAAATGTTAACCAAGCTCCATTTTTTCTGAGTGCTCAGTAAATATTTGTTGAATGAATAAGAAGCTCATTCAGAGGTGAGAGTAAGAGGTACTTAAACTAGTGCCTTGGTGACAGAAAACCACATCTTGACAGCTTACAGATAAAAAAAGATTAAGCGAAAAGAAAAAGGAAATACCTGGACAGAGAATTGTCTTCAATTCACTTCCATCTCAGAGAGGGAAAGAGTCCAAGTTTTGCAAGCATCCAGTAGGCTAAGATGTCCCTTGCAAAGACCAACCTCTACCTTTAAGAAGAACCTAATTATTGCAGCATGCTTAGAGCTCCCTGCTAGGGTTGGGTGGCCAGTGGGCTGGCTTAGCTTATGATACATGGTATACCACAGAAGCCATTTCAGTGACATTTAGTAGCTCAGAGGCACTAGCAGTCATTTGGGGAAGAGTCATAATTCGTTGTACACCCAACAATGTTGTGAATTTGTTTTGATTTTATTTTGAATCACAAAGAGGGAGAGGTGCCTAAATCCTTCCAAGGGCTTTAACACAGACCTTGCCAAACCACAAAATCCTTGTGTGGAGAGGGAAGCTAAGCAAATGTTAGGGGGAAAAAATGGAATTGGAGTTCACAGTTTGGGCTTAGGTGACCTATTTTATTATGCAGAGTAAAACAAATTAAGACAGGAAGTGATCTATTTAACTATTACTTGTATTCAGTGTTCAATATGAAAATACAAGGAACTGTGTTTTTTAAAGATCTATATAGACAGCATTGTTTTATTATGCGTCTTTTAGGACAGAAAGCACATGTGACTTAAGTCTGTCTCTTGTTTTAATACATCTGAATGTCTGGCCTTTGTGGTAGTAAAGGGAGTTGCAGGCCACTTTCCCCGGGTGATCTGGCGGAACTTCAGTCACAGTAAAGCCATTGTTCCCTACTTTCTACTGGAAACCTCTCCTCAAAGTTTGCCAGGATTCTTCCTTGGGAAAGAAATGCTGTCTCTCCTATTCCTCTATGGACTTTGAGACCAGCCTAACCTCAAACTACGTAGCCCCAAATGGTTTTGCATTGGTGATCTTCCTTCATTCGCTTTTCCCAAGTGCCACACTGATAAGCATGTGCTGCTATGCCTGGCATCTGTGGATTTTATTGTTTGTGTTGGCACTTTACTCAGTATTTCCTTTTCTCTTGTCCATTCTATCCTGGATAATGGATCCAAATGTTCCTGGGATATGGGATATGGAAAATGTACCATGCTGTAAGATCCTTAATCACTTACCTGATGGCAGCCACTAAAATTTCGGCACAGAGGGTAAGGAAATAATTGATGGCAAATGGCAGAGAGTACCTTGCAGACACAACCTTATTCTGTACTGGCACCTTATTCTGGTACACCTAATAGCTGCATGTGTCTCTAACAGGATTCACCAACCAGCCTCTGCTGAGTTGATGTTTCATAATTTTCTTTCTCCATAGATGGTACAGGTCAAAATTCTGCTTGCGACTAAATGCTTCTTCTCTAATTCATCTGTTTCTCCTCTCTTGGTCTGTTTGTCACTTTTCATTGAGGCGAGTCTTCTTTTTAATTTGGGTTATTGGCTCTCCTGGTGTTCTGCTCAGAGGTGCAGTTGAAGGCACAAGCAAAAGTCCTGTTCCCCATTGATGAGCTCATGCCCCACCCCCCACTATTCTCCTACCTTTGCCAGTTCTGTACCTGGTACTTGTTGGAAGAATTAAAGGGAATCTCTGCCACCTTGGGGTATTTCGCTCTCACTTCCTTCACAGAGCAGTAAGACTGTTCGATGAACTTGAGGAGCGCTGACTCGGAAGCATCCCCTGTCGTTGCCCTCTGCCAAAATGGGTTTATATAATAAGTCCCAGGGGTATCCCACCTGGGAATGGGGCTTACTGTGGTTTCAAGGAGAGGGGAAGGATAGAGAGGAAAGACGGTGAATGGTGGAGGGGGATCACTGAGTGCTAGGAGAGAAAAAGATGGGTCACTGGACACTGGTCTCTTTCCCCTTAGTCTCGACACCTTAGCTATGGGCAGGCTCTCCTGACGAAGTTTGAAGTCAGCCCGGTTGCAGAGGGCAGCGATTTGAGCCAAGATAATCCAGGAATCAGAGCCTTTGTCAAAATTGCTTCCTAGGGAGAGAGAAGGACATAACTGTGAGGAGAGGAGAGTTTGAAGCAGAGAATTAGTCACATCCTGTTTTGTGCCCAAATATCACGCTGAGGATATATTTATTTTCCTCTCTCTCTCTCTCTTTTTTCCACTCATCTCTCTAGCTTTTTTCATTAGGACTTTCCATTCTCTCAGTTCAATCATCACCTCCCCTCAGTCCTTCCACTAGTCACCAGACTGATGTTCACTGGTGTCAGCTTCATACACCTTCTTATCAAACCACAGGTGGGCCACTGTCATGCGGTTCTGGGTGAGGGTGCCTGTCTTGTCTGAACAGATGGTAGATGTGGAGCCCAGGGTCTCTACAGCCTCCAGATTCTTCACCAGGCAGTTCTTCCGTGCCATACGCTTGGCTGTCAGGGTCAAGGATACCTAAAGCCAGCAAGAAGGGAGAAAATGGACAGAGAGGGAGATTACTCCCATCACTTTGTGTTTGGATTGATCATTTTTGTTTCCATTTTGTTTCCACCTATTCTTTAGAAGTTCCATCTATGACCATGGTACAGAATATTGGGGAAGTAATTTTAGTATGTGATTTATGACAAGAGTTTCAGTTTGTTCCTTTATCAGGGTATCTTAAGGAGTGAACTTCTTACCCTCAGATCCTTCCTGCTTTACTACTTAACAGCCTCTTCCACATTTCACCCTCTTTCTTTCTAGGTTCAATCTTTCCAGGGATCACATAGGTGGCTAGTCAATTGTGGTATAAGATGCTATGTGTGCAGGAGCATTGTACTGATAGTTTAAATGATGGACAAGAACAAGGATGACATAGAGAAAGAGCATCACAGTATTGAAAGCACTTAAGAAATAATTTAAACAAGATTTTTAAAATCATAAATTCAACATAAGTTAGGTATGTGGCAAGGCTATTTTAAAAACTAACAAATAGGGCTGGGAGGGTGGCTCAGTGGTAGAGTGCTAGCTTTGCATGCATGAGGCCCAGGGTTCTATTCCTCAGCACCACATAAGCAGAAAAAGCTGGAAGTGGTGCTGTGGCTCAAGGGGTAGAGTGCTAGCCTTGAGCTGAAGAGCTGAGGACCAGTGCCGAGGCTCAGAGTTCAGGCCCCACAACCAACAAAAACAAAAAACAAACAAACAAAATTAACAAATAGGTTGTGGGTTATGTACATATAGAATTCTCTGATTGAGGGGCTGGGAAGGTGGCTCAGTGGTAGAGTGCTTGCCTTGCATGCATGAGGCCCTGGGTTCAATTCCTCAGCACCACATAAGAAAAAAGCTAGAAGTGATGCTGTGACTCAAGTGATAGAGTGCTAGCCTTGAGCTGAAGAGCTGAGGGATAGCGCCCAGGCCCAGAGTTCAGGCCCCACGACCGGACTCAAAAAAAAAAAAAAAAAAAGATAATACAAGTAAACAGCTGAATGAAATAGGAAAAATTATGTCAGGAATTCAATACATATGGAAAGCTTAAGCCGAGTGCCGGTGGCTCATGCTGAGATCTGAGGATCATGGTTCAAAGCCAGCCTGGGCAGGAAAAGTCCGTGAGACTCTTATCTTCAATAAACTACTCAGAAAACCGAAAGTGGAGCTGTGGTTCAAGTGGTAGAGCTCTTGCCTTGAGCTGAAGAGCTGAAGGGCAGCACTCAGGCCCATGACTGACAAAAAAAAAAAAAAGATGGAAAGCTTGAGAAAATTCAAATTGAAATTCTGGAAGTACAAAACAACCGAAATATAAAACTCAGTTGAAAACTTTGTTTATAGAATATTAGAGATTGGATGTAAAGTAGAAGAATTAAAATACTAAGAAAATATCTCTTAAGAATGATTTCTGGAAGGTGAAAGGTTAGCAGAAGTATCTTGCCTTCCTTTTTGCTTTAGGCCTGCTGGGTTTTGTTGAAATGGGCAAGTTCATGAAACCCGGGAAAGTGGTGCTGGTCCTGGCTGGATGCTACTCTGGACACAAAGCTGTCATCGTGAAGAACACTGATGATGGTACCTTAGATCACCCCTTCAGCCATGCTTTGGTGGCAGGAATTGATCGCTATCCCCGAAAAATGACAGTTAACATGGGCAAGAAGAAGTTTGCCAAGAGATCAAAGATCAAGTCTTTTGTGAAGGTTTATAACTACAATCACCTTATGCCCACAAGGTACTCTGTGAATATCCCCTTGGACAAACTGTGGTCAACTGTGGTCAAGGGTATCTTCAGAGACCCAGCTCTTAAATGCAAGGCCTGATGGGAGGCCAAAGTCAAGTTTGAGGAGAGATACAAGACCGGCAAGAGCAAGTGGTTTGTCCAGAAACTTCAGCTTTAGATTAAAAAGGGGGGGTGGGGGTGGGGTGTGGGGGAGAATGATCTCTGGGACATCATTAAAAGACAAAACCTATGAATGATGAGTATAGAAGAAGGAAAAGTACAAGCTAAAGGCATAGATAACCTAGTCAATAAAATATAGCAGACAGCACCCAAGAAAGGGACAGAGCCCAAGCCCAAGCCAAAGAAAGGGCTATCTGTGTACAGAAAGCATTCAGAACACTAAGCAGACAAGAAGAAAGAATATTGAAGGCTGCAAGAGAAAAGTGGCAAGTCACATATAAAGCTCATCAAAATAACAGCAGATTTCTCAACATAAACTCTAAAAGCATCTCTGAATGAAAATAACTATAGATTACTGTATCTAACAAAGCTATCCTTCATAACTGATGGGGAAATAAAGCCTTCTATAATAAACAAGAACCAAAGGAATTCATGACCAGTAAATCAGCATTGGAGAAAATATTTAAAGAAACTTACACCAATAAAAGGAAAATAAATATCAGAACAATATGGGAAATAATAATGCCCTTAGCTAAGTGGATAAGCAAATATGGAGTGTGTTGGATGGAGCAAAAAAAGCTGGGAGTATAACTCAAGAGCTAGAGCATCTATCTGCCTAGCAAGTGTGAGACCCTCAGTTCGAACCAGAATAATTTGAACTATAATGACCCTATACTTAAAAGACCCCAAATAGTTCACCAGAAATCAGATTTAGATCTGATCGACTATTTCAGCAAAGGAGCAGAAAACAAAGTCACCATATAAAAGTCAGTAGTTTATGTACAAAGATGGCATTAGGAATCTCAATGAAAGCTGTTGATCATAGGAGACTTGGGATGGGGAAAGGTAAAACAGTAGGACTATTCTTATTAAAATGTAATATATATACATATGAATAACATAGTGAAACCCCTTGGTACAATTAATACACACCAAAAAATGACAGGAAAGTAAAGTTGGCTCTGTTGGTGGCAGATATAGGTACTAACTGGAGGGAGGGAGGGAGTCTGGAGAGTGAAGAATGGGGATGAATGTGGTTGGACTAGTTTATTTGCATCTATGAAGACAGAACAATGAAGCCTTTTGAAATTGTTTTAGAAATGGGAAGAAAGGTAAGGGAGAGTGATAGAGGGGGTGAGTTTGCCCGTATGGAAATGTCACAAGGAACTACCTACCGCCTACTCCCATCCCATACAACTAATGTAAAAAACAAAAAACAGTCGGTTGATTTTCTATGTATCAACAACAGGCTGAGAATGAAATCAGGAAAACAGTTCCATTCATAATGAATTTCTGAATTAATAATTAAAATTTTTAATACCTAGGAATAAACTTAACTAAGGAGGTGAAAGACCTCCACAACAAAAACAATGAAGCCCTAAAAATATTGAAAAAGACACTAGAAGATGCCAAGCCCTCCCATGGTCATGGATTGGTGGAATTAATATTATAAAAATGACTGCTACTGAAATCAACCTACAGACTCAGTGCAGTTATCATCAAAATTCCAATGTTATTCTTCATAGAAACACAGTAATCAATCCTAAAAGAGTAATCCTGGAGCCAGGTGATATTCAGGAGGCTGAGATCTGAGGACTTTGGTTTGAAGTCAGACCAGGCAGGAAACTCTGTGATACTTTATATCCGGCTAACCACCAAAAACACAGCTGTGGCTCAAGTGTTAGAGCACTAGCCTTGAGCAAAAATTTAAGGGACAACACCCAGGCTATGACACACACACACACACACACACACACACACACACACACACACACACACACACACACACAGTAATACAAATTACAAAAAGAACAGTGTTGGGATTATCATAATGATGGACTTCAAATTATACTACAGAACCATAGTAATAAAAGCATGGTACTGGCACAAAAACACATTGACCAATGAACTAGACTAGAAGAGCTAGAAATAAACCTACACAACTACAGCCACCTTATTATTTATTTATTTACTTTTGTTGGTCCTGGGGCTTGAAGTTGGCCTGGGTGCTGTCCTGAGCTCTTCAGCTCAAGGCAAGCACTCTACTGCTTGAGCCACAGCACCACTTCTGGTTTTCTGGTGGCTAATTGGAGATAAGATTTTCACGGACTTTCCTGCCTGGGCTAGCTTTGAACCGCAATCTTCAGATCTCAGCCTCCTGAGTAGCTAGGATTACAGGTGTAAGCCACTGGCTCCCAGCTTCTGCCACCTTACTATTTGACAAAGGTGTTAAAAACATATGCTGGAGAGAAAAATCAGCCTCTTCAACAAATGGTACTGGGAAGACTGGATATCCATATGTAGAGGACTGAAACTAGACCGGCATCTCCCACATTAAACAAAAATAAATTCAAAATGAATTAAAGATATTAATGTAAGACCTGAAACTTTTAAACAACAGAAAATTGTAGGGGAAATACTTAAAGATACATGTCTAGGCAATTATTTTCTGAATAGGATCTCAATACCCAGAAATAACAGCAAGAATTCACAAATGGGATTATATCATAGTAAAAATCGATCCATATTGCCAGAATGAAAAGGCAACCTATAGAAGGGAGGAAACATTTGCAAGGTATTTATTGTATAAAGAAATCATACCCTGAATATACAAGAACTCAAAATTTGAACATCCAAAGAACAACCCAATTAATGAATAGGCAAATGAACTGAAGAGACAGTTCTCAGAACAAAGAAGTACAAATGGCTAGTACATGCACGGAGCAATGTTCAACATCATTAGCTGTCAAGGAAATTCAAAGCAAAATAGTGCTGAGATTTCATCTCACTGCTGGTGAGGTGAAGGGAAATAGGAGCTCTTATACACTGTCGGTGACAATGTAAGTGAGTACAACCACTATGAAAATCAGTATAGCAGTTTATCAGAAAGCTAAAAGTAAATGTATGGTGTAACCCTGCTCTACCATTCTTGGGCATATACCCTGAGGAATGTTAGTCAATGTAGAGAGATATCCACAGACCCATGCTTATGGCAACACTGTTAACAACATCCACTGTGTAGAAGCAGCCTTGGTAACCAAGAACCAATGAATGGAGTATGTATTCAGCCAAAAAAAGGATGAATTATATTGTTTGCAAGAAAATGGATAAAACTGGAGATCATCATATTGAGATAAGCAAAGCTCAAAAAACCAGTTATAGCGTGCTTTGACCCATATGCAGAATTTAGACCTAGAATGATAACAATGACAACAATAATAATAATGGGCCATGGGAATGCAAGAGAGACTGTTTATGGGTGAGAATTCATGAGAGTATGGAATAGGATAGAAGAGTGTGTGGATGGGAGCAGTGAACATACTTGATGTACATTATATATACATATATGAAGAAACCATAATGAAACCCATTAAATGTTATTTGGAAAATGGTGGAAAGGTGAGGAGTTAAGAGAGTACAAGGGAGGGGACAGATTTAATTGAAACACCTATACACATCTATGGAAACACTATAATGAAACCCTTATACAATTAATGTATGCTAATTTAAAATAAATGAAACGGTTAGATTGTAGGAAAAAGAGAAACTTATTTTGGTTCCTAAGTTGGTAAAACTAGGATGGAGAAACTGCTGCTCAATACAATTAAAGTTACCTGGGACAAACAGCAAGGAAATGGGCTAAGGCAACCATCCATGAATGTGTTTCCCATTACCAGAAAGTAAATCCTCTAACGTGGATTTTTATAGAGGATATTCAGTGTTGGCTCAAGTGTTGAATTTATGTAGCCTTTGACATTCTTTCCAGTAGGACTCCATAAGTCTAAATATTACTTTACAAGTAAGATAAATAATAGAGGCCTGGAGATATTAAGAGATTTGGCCAAATTCATAGCCAGTACAGGCAAGAATAGAACTCTTTTTCTATTTCCATTGGCACTTGCTTCCTCTCTCACTGGAGAAAAAGAGCAGACACCAGAAAACAGGTGGGGACAAGGTCCATGTAATATTGGGAGCTAAATTATTTCTGACACGCATGTCAGGCATGTGCTGCACTTGCAAGTTTCAACAACACAAAAGAATACTAGGGATTTCATTTCCCTGGGTTGTTTCCTTTCTGTCCCAAGGCCACCCTTGTCTACTTACAGTGACAGTGGCCAGAAGCCCCTCAGGCACATTAGCCACGATGATGCCAATTAGAAAAATGACTGCTTCCAGCCAGTTGTAGCCCAAGCAAAGTGAGAGAATGAAAAAAGTGACACCAAGGAAGGTGGCTACTCCTGTGATCAGCTGGATGAAGTGTTCAATCTCAAGAGCAATGGGAGTCTTTCCAGTCTTCAGGCCTGATGCCAGAGAAGCAATTCGGCCCATCACTGTGGCATCTCCTGTAGCAATCACAATGCCCCGGGCTATTCCTGTGGATAAAAGTATATTGTGATGCTGTGATAGTGAAATACATAGAAATACCATTACTGTCTCCTTTTCTTGATGAAACTCTTGAAACCCATATAGATAGAGTTGTAGGGAAAACTTTTGTCCAATAGTAGATCTTTAAAAGACCTTTGTAATTTCCTGAGTGATATGAGTGTCTGACACAGAGCTCCTAATCCCTTAGAAATCCACGGGTGAGAAGTACACGCACACACACACACACACACACACACACACACACACACACACACACACACACACACACCCCTATTTGGTGCCAGTACTGGGGTGGTGTACTCAGAACCTCATGCTTACATGGCTTTTTCCTTAAGGTTGAGGCTTTGCCACTTGAGCTATAGCTCCAAAAAGCTATATGCTTTTTGATGGTTAATTGTAGATAAGATTCTCACAGACTTTTTGGCCTAAGCTGGATGAACCACGATCCTCAGGTGTGTATATATGCCTATAGCCCTCCTGAGTAGCAAGGGGTATAGCCACCAGCTACAGCTGAATCTTTTGTTTTGATGAAGC